GCTCAGGAGTAGCTTCATTACTTTATTATTTAGCATCGTTTTTTTGTTCTGCTTTTGGCGAAAAATACTCTTTTGTACTAACTGTGACCTTAAGAGAAAGTATAAGAAAAAAAAGCACAGTCCTCAATTTGACGATAAATGATGTATTCTGAATGAAATGATTGGGTAAGTAGCTCATTGGCTGCGTGCATTTTTGAGGTAGCAGTATTAAATGTAATGGACCATATCAGGTGTCGATCCTACTACTAGAGCAAGTCCACTTCGCAGGTTAAATGGGCTCTGTATACTGTAGCTTTATATGTGCACAAAAATGAAGCAACCTTCTAAACACATTTCCCGGTAGCTTGCTTCGCTTTATGCTCGAGTAGGTTCTGCTGTAGATCCCACTCGTGCATTTTTCAGTATTTCTGTATCATATTGCACAATTTTGAAAATACAACCTAGCCTAAAACCGCCTTGCAGGTCAATGTGGCTACAAAAAACGTCTAGTTAAACAAAGAAGAATGTTGGCATATACAAAGACTGAAACCATGAGGAATAAACTGTGCTAATCAGTGCTCCTTCCTTCTCAGACATTCTCGTAATGGTTTTTAATGTTCCTTACTGAAGGGCACATTGATTACTTTTTCATCTAGATAGCTTCCTTGACTTCATTATTTTACCTGTTATACTAAATTTTACATTCACAAGTCTTGTCAGCCTCAGCCCACCAACTTCTATTTTATTATACATGTATTAGAAATTGAGAGCAGTTAATGTGTGGTGCCTTGAAAGCAGCTGCACTACCTGGACAGGAGGCTTCATGAAGTGTTAGTTCAATGTAAGCAATTAAAATTTTTCGACTAGGCTGCAAAACGGCACCCCATTTAAATGCGGTAAAGTTGCAGTTAGCAAAAGTGTCAGCTTTAGACAGACTGCCTATATAATGGTATGTGTTGCGTGCTTACAAAACGCATTGGTGAAGTGGAAAACCAGTGTTTTCTAAATAAGCTTTATTGTAACTTTTATCAAGCTATTTGAATTGTGTGATGGTACAGTTTCATTATTTTGTTCACGTGACTACTTTAGATGGTGATGTAAAAACAAGAAAAAAGCGAAGCAGTACGGTGAGCCTAATGTTCAAATGGTAAAAAACAAAACATCATTCAACTATAAGGCTTGCATGTGTAGATTAGATGAGTTAAATACAGATCAACAGAAGAAAGAAGCGGCGGGAAAACGCCAGTGCCGGGAGTCAGTCACATCGCGTTTGGAGCAGAAAGTGATACCAAAACAATGCAATAGAGACCACAGAGTAGCAAAACTGATTATTTCAAAACAAATCAAACAATCACACGAAACGGCACAAGAAAAAGAGAGGCTAATCAATTTTCCTCTGTTTACACAGCACTTAATATAGGTAAAACTGTCGGATACTTTTACATCAGCATCGAGTGACTGTTTTAACCAACAATTAAAAAGTGAGAACCAAAGTATCGCAGCGCACAGATCTTTCCTGCTTTTATAGGCAAGTGGTTATTCCTTTGTACGTACACCTCAAGTCAACAATTTTTGTGTGTGTTGTGTTTCAAAGAGACAGAAAGAGTTCCACTATGACGTCTCTCATAATCATTTGGTGTTTTTGAGACTTTTAACTCCACCTACAAATCAAATCAATCAAGAGAGAGAGAGAGAGAGAGAGATAGAAAAAAAGGAAGGCCGGGAGGTTAACCAGAGAGGTCGTCTTAGGTATAAGTCTATAATGTCGCCAAAAAATTGTGCTGCTATATAATACTTTGGTGGCATGGACAAACAGACCCAGAAAAGTATTCCGGAATACAGATAAATCAATACATGTCTTGGAAGCCTCAAAAACAGATAAAAAGATAGATTTGTCTTTGACGGGGCGGGATAATTGAGATATACTTTTTCAAGGGAGGAATACATTCGAAATTCCACATATACCTAAACATAAGTTTTATTTCCTGAATTATGATTACCTACAACGATATTCATCAAGCACAGAATATTGCAAATATAGATAATATTGTTTCCATGCAAAGGAACTTGCTAGTAAACCCTATCCCTTTTATCACGTTAGAGCATCAGTGAAGAAAAAAGCATACATTTGTTTGGCGCACAATATCTGTTCGGCTAAGATGTGTTTCGGTGTATTGAACATGACTCGTGATGTAGGAAAGTCTGTCTTGTTAACTTCTTTTGTGAATGGTTAGTCGCATATTACATTATGCCCTTGCTTCAATTACCTAGAGGTTTTGTAAATATATTGCCACGCACTACAATTAAGCTACCAAATGCATGTTGCTCATTACTACCTGGAGCACGTGGCACTTTTTTTCTCAATTGCCTATAGTTAGAAATGTCTAAAATACTTTATTGAAAGCTGGGGAAACATTTCATTGAAAAAACTGTAGATCAGACTGTTACACGTACGAAACAGTTTCTGTTTCGTACGTGTAACAGTCTGTGTGTGTGTTAAGCGCCAGTGTTGTTCTGCCTACTACAAATGCTAGCAAAACATGAAAAATGGCTCACGACATAACCGCTTGTAAGCCTATGCGTGCTGTGATTGCAGCGCTTCCTGATTCTCCGTGTGGAAAAGACCACACCGGTTACATTTGGCTGGGTGTGCTGTCTCGACACAACAGGGTCGATGATGGTGGCGGTACGATGAGGCACAATTTGCTAGTGCCCACACGAGTGATAACCACCTCGTTTGCTTATCGTTGCCGTGAGCTACCGTGAGGGAAGCATATCGTTTGTGCGCTGTAAGTTAAGACACGTTAACACCGGAAGTGGTACAAGCTAGCGAGCGAGCAGATTGTCGACGTGGAGAAGCAGCCAGGGTTTGCTTGCTGTTCAGGCACGTTCACAACAGACACAGCGACCGCAGACGGGCAACGAGAATATAAAGAGGAGAGACACCCAAGGAGTGCTTCATGTTCAGGCAGGTTCACACAGGACGCGGCAGACACAAGGACGCAAGCGGATTTGAAAAAGGAGAGGCAGCGCGGGCGTGCTGGCTTCAAGCACGTTCACAATGGACGCGGACCACGTAAGCGTGCAAGGGGATTTTCGATGGGTATAGGTCGCCTGAGTGTACCTGCTGTTCAAGTGCGTTCACACTGAATGCGGCTCATGAAAGCGGGCAAGAAGATTTTCAAAGAGGACAGGCAGCCAGGGCGTGCTTGTTGTTCAGGCATGATCACACCGGACGCGGCACACGCAAACGCAAAAGCAAATTTTCATAGAGGAGAGGCAGCTGAAATGTGCTAGCTGTTCAGGCATGCTCACGCCGGACGGCATGCACACGCAAGTGCGCAAGAGGAGTTCAAAAAGAAGAGGCACCCAGTACGTGCTTGCTGTTCAGGTGAGTTCACATCAAATGCGGCACCTAAGCACGCAAGCAGATTTTCAAAGAGGAGAGGCAGGCAGGACGTGCTTGCTGTTCAGGCATGTTCACACCAGACGTGGCACACGCTAGCGCACAAGCGGATTTTCAAAAAAAAAAGAGGCAGCAAGGGCGTGCTTGTGGTTCTGTTATGTTCAGACACATGCAAGTAAGCAAGGTTACTTTGAAAGAGGAGATTCACCCAGGGCGTGCTTGCTGTTCAGGCACGTTCTCACAGGACGTGACACACGCAAACGGGCAAACGGATATTTGATAAAGAAAAGCAACCAGGGCGTGCTTACTGTTCACGCACACACGTTCACACCAGGCGTGGCACACGCAACTGGTTAAGCAGAGTTTCAAAGAGAAGAGGTAGCCCGGGCGTGCTTGCTGTTCAGGCACGTCTATACCGGACGCAGCGTGCGCAAGCGGTTAAGCGGATTTTGAAAGAGGAGAAGCAGCCACGCCGCGCATGCTTGTCGGGCACGTTCGCACCAGGCGCGGCACACTCAAGCAATTGATTTGTGGGGTTTAACGTCCCAAAACCACCATATTATTATGACACTCAAGCAATTAAGCGTATTTTCAAAACGGAGAGGCAGCAAAGGCGTGTGGCTGCTCAGACCGACTGATTTCTCTTCTGCACATTCCATCACAGCTGCGGAACAATAGATCAATCGGTGTTGGACGTGTCGCCCTTTCGGGGCACTACCTGATACTGCGTGCATGCGCGTCTCATGCTCTTATTGGCTGCGGGCAGAGTGACCAACTTTTCCACGCTATCCGTAAGGGCGCAAGTGTGCGTGAGGGCGCAATCCGAGCAAGCCAGGGCGGATTTCCTGTTTTGAGGGATAAGTCCGGGTCCTCTTTCCGTATGAGTGCTCAGTGCAAACTACTCTTTTAATTAGTTGACAAATCACAGCATTCGTGCGTAGGTGCGCTAACGGGCTTGTCACGAGGCATTTTCGTTATTTCATAAGCATTTCTAGTAACCCAAAGTTATGGATACTTCAAAAACAAAAAAGTAAGAAGTTGTCTGATCGCACGTTTTGCAAAAAGTTTGTATACCTTTTTCAATGTAATTTGTAATAGTTGTAACTTTTATTGTAATCCTTATAGTTGCAATTACAATTAGAACTATTACAATTGTTCGTTATAATTGTACTAATGTATAAATTAATTTTAATGGTAATAGTTGGTTAATAAACATGCCTGATTTCGCAATCAAGAAGACACAAAATAGTATGTCATACTATTGGTCGTGGCGTCTTGAGTGCGTTGGCATATTTTAAAACTTTGGCTGAATATAGCAAGGGTACCCTGTATATTGTTACTTGCAGACATCAAGATTTGTTAAACATTTTGTGAACGTTTTTCTACACGCATTAGAGCTTTTGTAGATACTTGTCCTGATGTTTTGCAGCATTTATGAGAAGCTTGCATATGCATAGGCACTGCCGAAAACAAATGTTTGCTACTTGTGCTACTTGCTTTGTGGTGGTGGTACCATTCTGATGTCTTAAGCACTCTTGCACTAATTCATAGCTTCCTCAATCTGAATATTTCTTCCAGAAACTATGTTTGAATGAAGAGAAAAAAACACAGAAAAGGTTACTATGTGTTTCTTTTATTAGTAGTATTCTTCACAATGTCTTTATTTCCTCTTGTTCACCTTCACACACTGCACCAATTCACCAGACATTTAATTACCGGCTTAATCACGCAGCTTGCCTTTCTGATACAAGAAATACATGCTACAAAATTTATTCGTGCTCTAACTCAGCGTATACAATTTCGCACTGCGTTTAAGGAATCACCGTGATGTCGATGCAGCTATATTGGGTGTTTTGCACCCAATATTCGTGTTCAATTAAAGTATTTTACACCCACAATTTTCATGTTGTGTTTTCGTACCCTTGCGTCCACGAGAAACGTGTGGCAGAAACTTTACAGTTTCAAATGTGTGCGCTCGTGCTCCTTGAAAGCTCTAAAACTTCATTCAGCAAAACGCTGAACTATAGGCTTCATTTTCATACTTGCAGTTTATCTTTCCTTGTACGCTTAGTAAGCTTTGTGTATGGTCACCTGCATGTAAAGAACAAGATGCGTAAACAATTATAACGCTAAAAGATACATATCATAAATACGCGAGTAAACCGACTACAGAGCTGGAAGGAGGCACCACTGCAATGATCTGGCTGCAAGCAACTACTTAAAGTCCACGGCTGCGCAGCGTCCAGTGATAGAAGCAACTCCTAAATCACGATGTCAGTGCATCGTGTCAGTTGAACTTTTAAGAGTCACATTACTTACTCTGACGAAGAGACAGCACAGCTATAGCTGCGATGAAAACACATGCACTATGGTGTCCAAGTACTCTTTTTCTTTGGCACTACAAGAAGGAGTTCACCAGTCAAGACTGTTCTCCATCACATCACGCCACGTGGGGCTGCTTTCACTGTAGAACTGCGAGAACCATTTGCGGAAAGCCACAATCGTCCGGTCTTCCTTGACCAGGGCGGGATGCTTCATGTAGGTCTTGTAGTTCCACACGGCTATATCCCTCTCCACCTAAGAAAAAATGGCAAACAACAGTCGGAGGAATAAATTTTCTGTTTTTATTTTGTTATACAAATGTGCGGAAGCGGAGAGTTACATAGCGGCAGTGAAAAATGCCCACTTTTTAAACAAAGACAAGTTGTGCATCACCACATTTTGGCGAGATTACAAATCACAAGGAACCACGCTCATACGCGCCGCATAAACTGGCAGCATGAATGTTTCCGAGACGTTTATTGAGTCACTCTGATTGTTGGTGGGCCAGATGGCACGTACTGTGCGCAAATCAGCGTGAAATGGTTCGCTGTGAATATGTGCTTTTGTTTTTTCGCTTTCGTCCACTTCTGGTGCGCTGTTTTAAGCTCAGTAATTACGCCTTTTCGGCTTACTGTTTCCGTAAAAACAAGGCCTTGCAGAAGTAATAATTTTTCGTACTTGCATAGTTTTAGGCCTCTCTTACACAATTTCTTGTTTCAATTTTATTGCAGGTACTTAAGTAAAAGTGAAGTACCACACCCCCAAGGCGTCTACAAAACTCTGGCTTATTGCGACCACAATGGGCAAAACAAAATTTCGACCAGGGTTTTTACAAAGCTTGTAATTGTGAACAGATTCAAGTACTTTATCTTACATTGACGTGAAAGCTCATTGGCACCGAATGTGGACAAATGTGCATAAACTTATTAGATATTGTCAAAAAAACAGAGCTTGCTGGCACTTCGAGATGTTAATATGTATATATCTGAATAAAAAGGTTAAGTGAAATGTGAGTGTCTCTCCGTCAAGAATGCGTGATGGAAGCAACACCTAAACACTTGCGAGTAATATATATGGTCGTAGCAAATACGCATTTGTTGTAAAATTTGCTTCGGGAGAATAAGGGCTCTCACATTTACCAGTAGGTGCAATTTGTTTTCCTTTCGGCAAAGTTTAATTCACTGAACAGAGCAAATGTTCAAACTCGCAAATTCTAATCCAAATCGTGATGGGCAATCTAAATATTTGTATGCCAATATAGTGATCATGCAGCTCTAAGGTTTCAGCAACATTATTATCAACGCTAAATTTTCTTGCCTGAAAACAGAAGTCTAAAAATTAAAATATACGTGGGTACGCAGCCAGTCACACCATAAATCAGTGCTCTTTGACATGAGCCTTGCAGGCCACCAATTTTACTTTCACGTGTCACTCTAAACACCCCGTCACGTCGCCTTTGTTTGGCAGGATAAATGTTCTTGTAATAAATAAAAATTAAGAAACGCTTATAGTGCTAAATCCTGGTAAATCTCAAACCGAGCATTGCGACTTATTCTTGAAGCAGTGGGTTAATTCAGAGTCAATCTCTTCATATTTTGCTCTTTGAGAAGAATAGAGATATTCCTCTGAAAACTCAGGCAAGAAAAAAAAGAGAAGTGAATTAACACATATATAGTGCTATGACCGCCTAATTATTGAAGTTTTTAAGTATCAGAACCACCGTATGATTACGAGGGGCAATGTAGCGGAGGGCTCTGGAAGTCTTTAACACCTGGGTGCATTAACGTGCTTCTCAATCTGCGTGCGCTTGTCCCCAGGATATTGACACATTGAAAATGCGGCCGCCACCGCCTAAACTTGGTCCCGCGTCTTTGAGATCAGCAGCTCAACACCATATTCTATATGGACCACCACGGCATGTTACAACTATAATGTTATGCAAACGTTCTCATTCCATTCGTGCGATGTTCAAAAGAAGTGTACCCCAAGCGTACGTGCCTTTTGAAATGTTTGGTGATTTAAAATAAATATAAAATGTATCACATGGAGATTTGTAGTTCCTTTTTAAACCAAATGCGCGAGCATGTGCATATACTTTGCGGCGGTAATACAGCGTACAGCCTCCTGAAACCGATATAACCCAACTCCTCTCAGCTCCTCCGTCTCCAGTTCCTAAATAGGCACTGACACAAACTTTCGAGGACGAGATAGCCTGCGGGATCGGTTCCCGTCAACATGCGTATTTAATCTGAACATATCAACAGTGAATGAAGCCTGGAAGATAATTCTTTTATTATTTTGAAGTATGCATGAGCGATCGACTCCGTCATGCTATTGACTCCTTCAAAGGGGACCCTTGGAGACCCCCTACTTGCTTCACGTGACCAGCTGCAACAAGTTATGACGAGGTCATAGCCGCCATTTTTGTCTAGTTTGCTCCAGCAGCTATTACTCGGCAGCTGCTCTTGAGTCTGTGGCCTTGGTGCACGAGTTGAAAGTTTTGTGTTTGATGACATGGCTGTCCAGTTTTCTCATCGAAAAATCTCCTTTGTGCAAACTCAAAGGACGTACGCCAGTTCTGTGCGCTGACATAGTCGAGTGTTGCACCGCTAGGTGGTGATAGTTGCACCCGGTCGGTGGCTTGTCGCTTTTAAAACCGAAACTAACACTGGTTGGTAATAACAAGCCTGTAACAACTTATCTGTCGTGCGATGCAGAAAACAGTGTGTTGTTATGATTAACAGGCTCCCAATAACACACTGCAGCAATAAAATGCGAGACAGTATTTTTTTGTGTCAGTACCTCTTAACTTGCCCCACCGCGGTGGTCTAGTGGCTAAGGTACTCGGCTGCTGACCCACAGGTCGCGGGATCGAATCCCGGCTGCGGCGGCTGCATTTCCGATGGAGGCGGAAATGTTGTAGGCCCGTGTGCTCAGATTTGGGTGCACGTTAAAGAACCCCAAGTGGTCAAAATTTCCTGAGCCTTCCACTACGGCGTCTCTCATTACCATATAGTGGTTTTGAGACGTTAAACCCCACGTATCAATTAATTACTAAAAACATTTACACCTTCAAGAGAGTAATACGAATGTTTGTGTAAAAAAATCCTTATGAACACCCTTACTTCACCATTCTTTTAACAATTAGGGTGTATGCAAATGAAATACCGTTGGAACACTTCATTTACACACTTATCTTAGGTGTGTTATGAACAAGGGTACAAATGCACGTTTTGGACCAGTTGTCTTTACATTTTAAGTATAAATTAACCATGTTTATACCAGAAAGATTTTTACTACCATCTTTGCTTGCGGGTCTAGTGAAGAATCGAAGAATAAAGTAAAGTAATGCAACAGAAACGCAGTGTTCTTCGATAAAGCACGCAAACTACCAAAACGAAGGACACAACATGAGCACCGCTTATGCAATAGAGTAAGGACCAATTGTCTTGAATCTACTCCACTTATCTGCGCCGTTAGCGTGATTAGTGAACACACACAATGTCTACTAACTTGGCCGAATCAAGGTAATGCTGCGTACAAAGGCGTAGCAATGAGACATCCACTCCACCCCATTATATAGAAAATGTCCGTCATATGCACAGAACTATCTGCACAGTTGACTAGCCATAACCTGCACGTCAACGAACCATAAGGTCCCTTACAAAAATGGACATTGATGTGACGTACTTTGAGCAGGCACGTTTTATTTGATTAGTGTCGCGAATATTCCTCTTTAAGTGTCCTGAAAAGTGCGTCATGAAAATTATAAAGGGGACACCGATCATAATGAAGAATGCAGAAAAAATACGTTTTGGTGACCTTGACAGAACTTTGCTAACAATGAAGCCAGCCTTGTTGACTAAATTATGAAGAAGGCTCCCCTAAAGGGAGCCGATACATCTTTTTTGTTCTTTTTGCTTTTTGTGGATCTCCTTCCTTTATTTTATGTTACTTCCCGAGCAGACGTGCTTCAACAAAAACTTTGAGTTCTTCGACAGCGAGAAATAACATTACTAAAAAATATCAGCCACGGTCTTGTTCGAAGAACAGCAAGATTTGTACAAATAAATGTTTTCATCGAATAGTGTGACGGCCGATGAAGGCCATGTTGCGTGGAGCGATGTATTTCCCGAAATTAACTTGCTAATAAACACAAATCCCCTGCTTGACCATTTTATGCACAGTTTCTATCGACCCGTAGATCTAACCAAATGCCTTCAGCTTCGCTTTTTCACCAGTCTTTACAACTATAGTTAAGTGAAGGTGTGCAAAATTTTGTTTTTGAACATTATTTTGCGTGCTCTGACCAAAAGATTGTGCTGGCCTCACTGCATTGTCGCAATGCTCACTGCGATTGGATTGCACTGTTAAAGAAACATTATAATAGAACAGATCTTTGTCGCAGAAAGAAACCCAGGGGCGCGCCACCCGTCAACAGCTGGAGCAAGCGTTGAACCGGATCTAGCCGGGCTGTAAGCGCCGCAAAGTGTTGTTGCCTTGCAAAATTGGCTACCTGGTTGGCCACGCGTGCGCAGCAGGCACAGAGCACACGAGAGCCAACGTCTTCATGGTGCATGTCACTGCGTGCACTGACAATATACTAGAAGTGCCCTCCTGTTTGTGTGCGTTTGGGGCGCGTCGCTTCTCGGTCGTTGGAGTTTGTAGTCTGTGATTTTTTTTGTTTGTACTGTGCCTGTGCGCTGTACTAGTCCTATGTGTTTTGGCAGTGCTTCTTACTGCGAAGACACACTATACTGAAGGGGACACCTGCGGATTCATATTGTGGAGCACTCGAAGTGAAACAATAAATAGCGCTCTCACGTTGCTGTGGTAAGCAGTTTGTTAACTGCGTGAGCCCAAAAATAGCGCTTTAAACAATTTTTTTCTTAAATAGATGAAGATAAGTGAGAATTTGTTTTCCTAGCAAGAATATTTGTAGGAACTGTTTATCCGGGATGATGGAAAAGTTGTGTGAGGGCAGGTAAGTTGTTCTTTGTTTAGATTGCTTGGAGTAGAAAGCAGAGTGCGCATGCGAGGCGGGGATTCAGCGGGTAATTCGAACAGAATTGTAGTTACACCCTGTTTGTTGGCTGCGTTCTCGACGCCCCACTCGCGATGAACATCTATTTTGGTTTATTATTACTTGCGTGGTGATAGCGCCTGTGAGCTCTATAAGCGTCAACCATGTCTAAGACGCAAATGCTTGGGTATGTTGGTAAATATTTGGGCTTTTTTATCGCACAAAAGGAAAG